AATCGAGTCCACCCACACAACGACCGACGGATGACCAAGTAACTTTGATATACATCCATAATGATATATATCGATATGAACCTGAGATATCCATATCCTAACACTCTACCTCAAACTCGAGATGCTTTGACACAAAGCAACTGGACACAAAGTAGTTAGAGTTTGAACATTACCAAATAAAACGAGTAGTGATCAAATCCATAGTAAATTGCACATGTTACTATAGTCTTCCAAGAAACATCATTTATTGGGCTCTCTATTTTATTCTAGAGACTTTCTCTCTAGTCTCTGAAGATCTTCTCTCTCATAGGCTTCTTTTATTTATAGAGATTTTCTCTCTCTAAAATAAAATGATATTTATTTCTCTCTTATTGGGAAGATCCGATATCGAGTAACGAAAAACTCGACGATCATCGCACGGGATGGAGCAACAAAAAACTCCATCATCAAACAGGATCAAGCAACGAAAACTTGATCATCAATCAGGATCGATAAATTCAATCGTCAAATTGGAACTGGAGCCTTGAAACAAAAAAGTTGCAAAATAAACTTGCATTGCTATCACTGGAGTGCTTGAATAGACTCTAAGATCGAAAATACGTAATCCGGGACATGTGAACACCAAACTTGGTCCAAATTCCACTAAAATTGCTACAAAGGCACAACAAAGACGGCTCTGCGACAAATAAAGTAGTAACGAACACTGAAGATTCGCGAAATTTTATTATTGAAAATTCTGCTAATCATGAATGTATGTACTCCCATTGATGATATCACTACAACGATAGTGCGACGAAGTCCTCTGCTACATGGCATGGCGCTAGGAGCACATAATATGCGAGACAATTAAAAAATGCGCGTATACCGGAATTGATGTTGTTGTCCACATAGCAAGTACATTAGAGATTTTGACTTCATCTATGCTCATCTTATCTCCATATCTCATATACTCTCCCCCTCTAGTTGGGTGTGGATGCGAAGAAACACCCAACTTGTAAAATACAATTTTTTTAGTACAAATGATATAAAAAAAAGATGCCAATGAAATTGGGCTTCTAGACAATAGCCCACATCTTAAAAAAAATACCACCCATTTTTTTTTTTCTTCTCTACTTTTTTAATTTTATTTTTTTGCAATATCACACCAATCAGTGTCGTGCTTGAGCATATTCTCTTGATGTCATGTTTGCTAATGTCGAAATTTGTGACGACGGAGACACCTTGGAACTTAATGGCTGCAATATTATAGGTCTCAAACCAATATAGAGGTATTTGTTACCGGCAACTCTGCCAATGCGAGCTTGCCATCATTCGTGTTGATGATGCCTTGTTACTCTACGGTACACAAATGCCCATCTGGAAAAGCCATTGCTTTTCCTCCTTAAGTTGGCCACGAACTCCTGCCTCATCATGTTCTTCATAAGCACTGCCAAATCATAGGCCTTTCGCTGCCTTTTCTTCCTTATCATATCAACCGAGATACACTTGTCTACCCTTCCTAGTATGGCCTTCCTTTCTACAGCTATTGTCCCATAGCTGAGATTCGTATCTGCCAATCCAACGCTGCTTGGTAACCCCACGATAGTCCAATGATGCCTGGTAACCCCACGATACTGTGACGTCCTTTGACCAAAGGTCTCAATGGATTTCATTGGAACCAGAGTTTTTAGAGAGGGATAGATGGAACACGAGCTATAGATTAAGGAACTGGTCTTGAAGTTTCTTGACCTCAGATCTGGGGTTGACAAGCTCAGATTTGAGTTGAGAAGTCTATTGCTCTGATATCATATTAGAATTTGTGGGAGCATACAAGCACAAACATTGAATGGGGATAGATGAAAAGAGAACATAACATTTGCGTAGTTTAGGCTGAAGCATTGGGGAGAGATGAAGAGATAACATAATATTTACGTGGCTCAGGCCGAAGCCTTACGTCTACGGATCCAAAGCCTAACGGGTTACATCTTCACTATTTTAGATGAATGTTTACATTAATAAGTACATTTATATATAAAGGACAACCACATATTTATACATCCATGGATCCAATGCCCAACGGGCTACATCTTCACTATTTTGGACTAATGTTTATATCAATAAGTACCTATATATATAGAGGATAATCACATAATTAATAAGATAAATATGGTATGATTCTTAGATATATAGGTAAATAATATGAAGCAATATCACCAAACTAACTTAATGACCAAGTAACGATGTATATCAATATGAACCTGAGATATCCATATCTTAACACTTCCCCTCGAACTCTTGATGACCAAGTAACTTTGATGTATATCAATATGAACCTGAGATATCCATATCCTAACACTATATCAAAGTCACTTGGTCATCAAGAGTTTGAGGGGAGTGTTAGGATAGGAATATCTCGTGTTCATATTGATATACATCAAAGTTACTTGGTCATCAAGAGTTTGAGGGGGAGTGTTAGGATATGGATATCTCAAGTTCATATTGATATGCATCATTATAAATGTATATCAAAGTTACTTGATCATTAAGTTAGTTTTGTGATAATGCTTCCTACTATTTACCTATATCTCTAAGAATCATACCATATTTATTTCATTAATTATGTGGTTGTCCTCTATATATAGAGATACTTATTGATATAGACATTGATCTTAGTGAAGATGTAGCCCATTGGGCATTGGATCCGTGGACATAAAGTTTCGATCTGAACCACGTAAATGTTATGTTATCTCTTCCTCTCTCCCCATCCATTCAATGTTTAGGCTTGTATGCTCCCACGAATTCTAACAATAGAGATAATCGATAAACAAGGGAAGTGTTTAATCTAGTGTATAGAGAATGGATAAAGATAGGAAAGAGTTTAAACATAGGGAAAAGGGTATAAAGAAAGAATTCGTTTGTTCAAAATTTGAATTTTAAAAAAATTTGATTAGTGGATAGAGAGAGAAATGCAAAGGACGTTGTTCAAAAACTGATTAGTCCATCGAGAGAGAATACATAGAGGACCTATGAAAGAGAAACAAAATTTTGATTCTTGAAGAACCGAAAATTTAAAATATTCGGTTATTCAACAACTGAATTTTCGGTTTTTAAAAAACCGAAATTGTCTTAATTTCGGTTGTTGTACAACAAAAAATCCATTGAATTCAGTTGTTCAACAAAAAAAAAAAAAGGGTAAAATTGTATTTTTAAATTTTGTTCGTTATAATATGAAAAAAACGAACAGATAAATAATAACGGAAACTATTTGGTAGTTTTGTAGTAACGCAAACTATAACAGATATGCATGTAATTTTCCTTACAAAATTTTAAAATACAAAAGGTGTCTTACTATATACTAACAACACCTAATTGAATAATCTTGAAACTATTATCCCAACCAACATGAATTGTCATTCTTTATTATTTTTGCTTTTGACAACTATTACCGAAGGCATTAGATAGAGATAAGAGAACAACAAAAAATTAACTTTTTCTCTACAAATGGAATACCATCTAAAATCTTTATTGGGTGTGTTTATTCACAAGAAGCAAGCCCTCTCTCTATGCAAGACATGGACAAACTATTTTTGTCACTAAAAGCTTACTTATCTCTCTTTAGAGGCTCCTCATTTGTGCCGGAGGCCATGCTTCTCTTTAGGGAAATTCATCTTTCCAATAAGGTGGCCTAAAGAGGCACAAATGTTATTTTATCACTCATTCCTTGTATATAAGGTTGTGAATCTTACTGCAGAAAGAAATCCTATTAGAAAAATATATTTATTTATTATATAATTTGGTTTTCTTAAAAGGGAAAAGTTTATATAGAGCCGAGGCTCTAAACAATCAAAGTAGAGTTTACCTCAAAAATCTCACTAGAAGAGGTTGTTTTGATGCTCAAATATCCTCAAATTAATAATCTTGACATCAAAATGCATGGACATGAGAAAAAAATGGATTTCAAGTTTTGGAAATAATATATTTTATAACACATTTTTGGATCGTCAATTTTCAAGAATGTATAGTTTTCATAGATCTGTTGATTTACACTATTTCTGAAGCTTTCAACTTTATAAATAAGGATGAAACTATATTTTAAGACTATCCCACAAATTTTCAGCATTGAATCAATATCTCTCAACACTGATTGAAAGTAGGCTCTAATTTGATTGTTTAGAGCCTAAGCTCTATACAAACCAACATCGCTCGACACTATTGGAAGGTAGGCTCTAATTTGATTGTTTAGTGCCTAAGCTCTATACAAACTGCACCTTTTTTTTTTGGGGTAGTTAAGCTGGGGAAGACAAGAACCTTACCCACCCATTTTTTACAATAGATTAGAGAATTAAATTTTGATGGTATTTCAATAGGTATGTAATATCAAAATAACTTGCTCACCATGTCAACATTTACTGTACTGCTTTATGTAATGTGATTTTTATTTTTTATCAAAAAAATTTATTATTTACCATCATTAATGAAAAATATTATCCTTTTTTTTTTTTGTCAAACTTCTCCACATCGTATTTTGCATTCGAAAGGATGCTTGCACCGGATAGATAGACGGGATATATTGACACCTACGTTCCGGTGAAATGTTTTTGGGCCTATATATCTGCGCCTCCTAAAGTATAGTGTACATCTACTCCCCCAATGAAACGAGGCACACACTATGAGTATTTTTTCTATTCCATGTCGAAAATAATATTTTTTCAATCTATTTTTTTGGAAATACTTAAGAATCAATGATTATTATCTTAAAACAAAAAATTTTAATTTTGAGTTTTCTAACATCTAGAACCTATCATCTAAAAATTGCATAGTTTATATTCAATTTTAAGATATCATTTTTTTTATTAAAAAAACTTTTTTATTGAAATTAATTTATGGATTAAATGTATCATATATTCAAAATTTGGAATTCTAAAATTAATCCTAAATAGAGTTTGTCCCCGATAGAGTAAAAGGACAATATCCTCCTACGGGCGTATAATATGTTTTGGCTCTAGGGTGCAAATTTGATCCCGCCAAAAAGATCTGTAATCGCGCCAATATTTACACTGCAGTTTCCCTCCACTCTACCTCTCTCTCTCTCTCTCTCCTCGAATTCCCAGAGGCATTTCGCCGTTCCAGCATCTTCATCTCTCTTTCTCTCTCTCAAAACCCCAGAGAGATTTATCCTCCCCCTTTTTCAATCTCTCTCTCTAAATCCCAAAAGATACTTCTCCATCCCTTTCTAATTACAAAATAGAGTTGCAGGCTTCATTTCTTTCGCCGGAAAAGGGTGAAACCGAGTAGAATTAAGGCATCAATGGCGGCTCCGACTGGATGTTACAAGTGCGGACTTCCTGGCCATTGGTCCAGAGACTGCTCCTCATCTTCTTCGAACCCTGCGATTTCAACTGATCAGAGAAACCCTAACCCTAATATCAAGCCATGGCAGAAAACCTCTCAGCTGTCTGCAAATTCTAACCCTAGTTTTAAGCAGAAGAGTCCTCAAACTGTTAAGAAGGCGCCGAGGCAGAGGCCGAAGCTCACAGAAGAGCTGCTTCTCTCTGAGGACGGTTTAGGCTATGTTCTCCAGCACTTCCCAAGGGCCATGAAGATCAAAGGGCCTGGTCAAGAGGTTCTCTCTCTCTATCCCTCCTCGTCTCCTCTCTGTAGCTAATATGTTTCTCTGTACTGGTTATCACACAAACGCATTATCACTTTTGTCTCTCGTGATTCCTCTCTCTCTCTTCCTTTCCATTTTTTTTTGGCTTACTTCTGGTTTAATCCTATCTGTTTTTTATCTGCATCACTGGACATGCTCTATCTTGTTATCAATTCTCACTTCCTGCATCTTTACCTTATTATTCTTCCCCTATCTCTCGTGCAAAACTTGGTTTCAGTATTAGAGGAATTCATTGTAACTTCAATTAATTACTACGAATTTGGGAATTGCAGGTTCGTGATCTGGGAAACTTGATCGAGTTATATGCTCTATGGCATTCCCGTCTTCTTCCTTACTTCTCGTTTGATCAGTTTGTGAAAAGAGTGGAAAAGGTTGGAGCAACAAAACGAGTGAGGGTAAGCCCTACTTATATTTGCAACATTTAAACATGGAGTATTCTATTAGGCTCATGAATGGTCTGTGTCGGGGTTGAAGGGTTCAGAGTGGACTTGGACTCGGACTCGACCTGGGCCTCGTTGAGTTCGTGTTAGTTGAAATATAAAATAAAATTATTTGTGTATACACACACACACACACCACCTCGTGTTTGGTTGGGTCTACCCCTACTTATGGTTTTGTGCTCCCTATGTTTTAAGTAGTCACCCAAAACCCTCAATGTTAGAAATTAGAAGGATAAGTGAGGTACATTTATAATGAGCTAAACTCTCTATGTGTTGCTTATTTGACTGAAGACAACCATAAAAAAATGTTCTGATTATTGGCGGAGGATACATTAGATGAGTAGATATGCCTTGCTTATGTGGCTGAATCACATGGGCATTACCATGGCAATCCCTCGAGAAGAAATGCTTTCTTTCTTCATGTGAAGGACTACTAGTAAACTCAAACAATATTGATAACAATTTTGAACTGTGTACTATAAGCTATGGAAATCTGGATCATCCTGCTGAGTGTTGAGTTAACTAAGGTTAAGTTTTTGGAGTTCATGATTTAATGGCTTTACATTTATGAGAAAGCATACAGTAAGACCATTTAATGTTGTACATGGACGTCACAATCACTTCTAGCAATCAAATATGAAATCAAGTGTCTGGAGGTGTACTTTTTAATGGGTCAAAGTTTTATGAAAAACAATTGTGAAAGTTTGTGACACACAAGCTCTCACATCTGATGGCTTGGGGGGATTATGACCTTGTGACTTCGTGTACCAATTATAAATTGTCTTATAGTATATAATCCCTAAATTTATGCATACATAATTTTTTTTTACTTGGTCATCATAAAGAATATAAATATATGATCCTGGTGGGTCCCAAGTTTTTCCATACAGAATTTTCACAGGCCTATACATGATATAGTTTCACTTGGTTGCTTAATCTAGCTCTAGGCGAGTGCCCGTGTTTTGTAAGCTGGGTTGTCACCTCTCATCTAGGCTTTGCATCATTCATTCTGATTATTGGATCCTCAGTGGCATTACAGCGGCACAGTTAACAGTTCTGAAGGTTGGAAATTTGATGTGATTTGGTACTTAAAGCCTGAGTATTGTTGTTTTTAGATACTCTGTGATATTTTCCTTGGCCTTTTTACATTTATTGTTGGAAATTCTGTATCATATTAAATAGATAGCGCATAATCACTTGACCAGAGTAAAGTGTATATATTACAAGCTCCTTGTCCTTTCCTGTTATGATTTTACTAAAATTGAGTTGGTTTAACTATTCTACATTCTGATTCAATGGATTATTTGCTTTTGGTAAGTAAGCTTTTTGCTACTGTGAAATTTGGTTGGAAAGTAATCCAGGCACATACATTTATTCTTTTTAAAACTGAGATAATTTGGAATTTGAGTGTGTGTGTTGATTTAGATCTTATTGTTGATTTGCCACAAAACTTTGGCATCTTTCTGGGGAATAGTCTCTTCCATTTTAACTTTGTCTTCTGAGAAATAATTTGTTGATGGATTCAATGACTGTTTTCATTCGTTTGAGTTTATTTTGTTGGTCAGATGTGTATTAGAGAGTTGAAAGAGAGAGTTGCCAGAGGAGGAGATCCCTCAAAGTTATATGAGCTACCTGTTGAACCAGCTGATCAAAATAATCCACCAGGTAACTGTCTTCTATATATGCATTATTTCAGGATGGGCTTTTAAAAAATAGAACTAATCATTCAAGATTCACGATCAATCAGAAAACTTTTATAAGGCGTTAAGACCCTGGCATTGGTAAGAGTTTATATTTGAATTGATTCTATGTAGTGAGATTTGTCCTTTCTCTAAATATGGAAGTGGTTTTGTCGTATTTATATTTTTTTTTGTGGAATTCTGGAATGCTACAGGAAGAAGACATGTGCGTTCCAGCAAATTCTGTTATTTCATTTGTGCGTAGAATATGTTGCTCCCGCTGTTATTGTTGCTCTTGTACATTTCTGTTCTAACATGTTCCTAGGCTCAATATCTTGGACTTAATATCTAGCCTAACACATAATGTGCATACAATATTTTCGGCTCAAGATTTATGAATTGTCTCTTTGAGGGTACAGCTGATGTGTTTACTCAAGCACAAGATTATGAAGGCAGTCATAATCATAGATGTCTGTTGCACCAAAGTTGGAGACTTATTTCAAAACTATTACCTGAAATGCCCCACCGAGTTGTTAAGGTGGTAATGGAAAGTGGGGCTGCATAGAACCAAGCACCAAACTAAGCAACTTTCCTAGGACCAAAATATGAAGGCCGGGATGAGCAGCTGATTAGGATTTAAGAACCCTCTTAGACGTAAAAATGGGAACCCCAAAAATTGGATTATCCCAAGATTGTGTACTTGGCCAGCTATAAACAAAATAGATGAGTGTGAGCCATAGTATCGCCACGAGAAATGAAGCTCAAAATACACATACCATAAGAACACCAAGATATATGTGGTTCATCCCAAATAGGCTATGTCCGTGGGCATGAGAAACTAAAATCCATTATACCAGCGGGAGTTACATCACAGATTTTGGGACACAAAAGGTATCTCACTAATTATCAACAATATCCAGTTGAGCAACTCTTGAAACCACTCTCCCAACCAACATCACGTATTGTTCTTCCTTCTCCTTACTTTTGACAACTATTATTGAACAAATCATGTAGAGAATTAAGAGCAACAAGAAATTGACTTTCTCTTTAAGAAAGGGATGCCACCCAAAATCTTTATAGGAATTGCTTATCTAAAGAAACAAGCTTCTCTCTCTGCATGAGGCATGAATTCATTGTCTCTCTCACTAAAAGCTCACTCCTCTCCCTCTCGAGGATCCTCCATCTTTGTGTACGATGCTCATGTTTTTCTCCTGGCAGAAGTCCAACTTTCTCATAGGGTGACCTATATAGGGCGCACATATTCTTTTCTCTCTCGTTCCATATATATAAAGTCATGAATCCCATATCAGCAAGGCATCCCATAGATGTCACATATCTCAAACTTTAAGATATAATCAAGAGTCCTAATCAAGTTGGAGTTCAATGAGTATCCCAACTTAGGAAACTTATCAATATCAATATCAATCCCCTATCACATGGGGCTTCCTAATGGGGGTGATTTTGTATATCACCATATCCAATAAAGCAGGCCTCTATTGTAGCCAAATGTCTAAATATCCATAGAACAAAGACATTGTCAGTTTCTGACATGTCAAACGTGTTAGAAATTGCAAACCTAATAATCGCCTTACATGATTCACCTACACATCATTTGAAGAGGGACGGAGATACAATTTTAAGCTACATCAAGTATTTTTTCTAATGGCATTTATAAAAGGTCAGGAGGGTGTAATTTTCTATAGTGTAAAATGTGCTTGTGGTGTCCTTGGTGCATCGACCTGTCCTAGGAACCATAGGCATTCTCTGTCCAAGTTACATAGATAAAGTTATATAACCCTTTTAATTATAGGTGAATTGATAAAATGTGATCATTTCATTTGAGAATATGCATTAAGACATGCGTTGTTTGTGCATTTCTTTGTTGTTGCTAAGTTATCCCTAGGTGATGACTTTGATTTAGTTCTGTATTCTTATTGCTTCGACAGAGGATATTGAGGACTCCGTTCCTGATTTAGTGGAACCCCCCGTGGAGAACCATGAAGTTGATGTGATAAATGAAGAAATGTTTGATGAGATCTATAAACAAGCAGTTGAAGTGAGTCTCCAATTCATGGTTTCAAATTTACTATATTTCTTATATTTTCGTTTTTTTTTCTTGTTCCCATTTTTGTTGGGTGAACTTTTACATAAACATCACATGGAGACTTACCCTTAATCACAGGCATTCCATTGGTTTAAAAATAAATTTTCTATGCCTTCTGCTTATCTTGTCAATTTCTCATGTTGATCATTAAAAACTTGATTAAGACCTAGTTATACTTTGTTTCTTATCATAGACTTTGGCAAGTATCTGTACTTGCTGGTTCCACTATACTTCCAAAGCTCTAGTTTTTTTTTTAGTAGAGAGAGAGAGAGAGAGAGAGAGAGAGAGAGAGAGAGAGAGAGAGAGAGAGAGAGAGAGAGAGAGAGAGAGAGAGAGAGAGAGAGAGTAGTAGAGTAGTAGTAGAGTAGTAGTAGTAGTAGAGTACGTAGTAGTAGT